CTCTCTCTCTCTCTCTCTCTCTCTCTCTCTCTCTCTCTCTCTCTCTCTCTCTCTCTCTCTCTCTCTCTCTCTCTCTCTCTCTCTGTTCGCTTCTCCTCCCCTCTTCCCTATGATTCCCGCATGTTTTTCGATCGTTGGTCGTCTGAAACACGCCACGTGTACAGTTCTCTGATGGCGGTGGCCTGGCCTCACCCCCTCTTTCCCGCTCTTCTCATCACCTCCGCGTTTGCAACTTCTCTCGCTCTCACACTTTTATCGTCACCCGCTTCGCCTCCTCTCTCTCCTCCGTACTAATTAGTAATCAGCCACTCACTCCCCTGTACTAATTAGTAATCAGCCACTCACTCCCCCGTACTAATTAGTAATCAGCCACTCACTCCCCCGTACTAATTAGTAATCAGCCACTCACTCCCCCGTACTGAAGTAGTAAACAGTGACCGATTCTGCACTACACGCGCTTCCCTCCTCCTCCTCCTCCTCCTCCTCCTCCTCCTTTTCCTTCTTCTCCTCCTTGAGCAATCGCTCTCTTTCTTCCCCTCATCCTGCTTTAGCAGTCACTCTCTTCCTGCTCCTCCTCCTTCGCCTCCTACTCGAGCGATCACTCTCTTTCTCCCCCCCTCCCTCCCTCTCCTCCTCCTCCTCCTCCTCCTCCTCCTCCTCCTCGAGCAATAAATCTCTTTCTTCTCCTCATCCTTCTTGACCAGTTACTCCCTTCCTCCTCCTCCTCCTCGACCAATCACTCTCTCCTCCTCCTCGTCCTCCTCGTCCTCCTCCTCCTCCTCATCATCATCATTATCTCCCGCCGGTTTGAGTTTCCCGCCCTGCGTTCTGCGAATCCTCATCGTTGAGGTCAGTTGTGCAGGGAACCGGATGGTGGGCACAGTGCAGTTCCGATTTGTGGGCGTGGACGGATAAAGAAGAAAGTTGCTCTGATTAGGGGAAAAAGGGACTTAGTGGGTGAGAGGGGGGGGGGGAGAGAGGAGGAGAGGAGGAAGGGGAGAACCAGTAGGAGGATGTAGAACGGAAGGGGAGGATAGGAGAGGAGCTATTTGGGGCAAACAGCCCCAAAGAACAATGATTCATGAGAAACGGAAGAAAGTAGAGCTTAAGAATGGACTAGTTGGGAGGACGGAAAGGGAAGAAGGGGAGGAGGAGGAGGAGGAGGAGGAGGAGGAGGAAGAGATGGAGGAGGAGAAGGAAGGGGAGGAGGAGGAGGAGGAGGAAGAGATGGAGGAGGAGAAGGAAGGAGAGGAGGAGGAGGAGGAGGAAGAGATGGAGGAGAAGAAGGGAGGAGGAGGAGGAGGAGGAGGAGGAGGAGGAGGAGGAGGAGGAGAAGGAGTGACACCATGAGTGCGGATTTCAGATCTGTCTTACTGAAGTACTCACATGGATGCAATCTGTCAATGAGGGAATCTATGGGCCTTGCTCCACTACTATCCAGATGTGCAAAATGGGAATGAATCTTCCGCTTGAATATGGAAAGATACACCTCCATTTTGTTTTTCTTTTCTTTTGTGCATGTGGAAAGTCGTAGAGCGAGGCCCTATGTGCAGTAGTGCCACATGCAAACCGTGATGGCACTGAGGCCCCTCCCTTTAGTGGATGCACATCTGCAACTCACCTTCTTGAAGGCTTCTTCCTTCTTGGGCACACACAACACAGGTCACCTGTACAGCAAGCTGCTTGCTCTATTCCAGCCCTTTTTCGAATCGAGTCGTTTCCAAGCAGATCTGGAACCAAAAGTGGTCAACAAAGAACTCAAGGAACTTAAGGAACTCAAGGAACTCACAAATGTGGGTGAGTTCCTTGAGTTCCTTGAGTTCTTTGCGAAGTCCATTGAGCTCCACAAGAGACATCTTATAGATCCTTCCCCTTGGGATTCTACTCCCTACCGTCTTCAACCCCGAATAGAAGGCCCGGTCATTGTAGCTGCATTTGGCCCAACTTTCAGTCCAGATGCAGCGAAAATGACCGGGGGTTCTATTCGCGGGTGAAGACGGTAGGACTATCTCTAGGGCAGGCAGGCTGAATGCCTGCTTACAAGTGCTGTAGGTTCCCCTTGGAAGGGCTGCAAACTCATCTCCATAATTTGCTCGACTAGCTTAGGAACCCCCCATAGATTCAGATTCCCCTTTTGGGGTGTAGATATTAGGTACAGGCCCTCCTTTTAGGATGCAAATACTATGTACATAAGCAAATACTAGGTGCATGCCCTGCTTTTGAGATGCAGATGCTATGTACATACATGTGTTTTGGGATGCACATACTATGTACATACTCTCCTTTGGGGATGCAAATACTATGTACATAACTCTGCTTTGGGGATGCAAATACTATGTACATAACTCTGCTTTGGGGATGCAAATACTATGTACATNTTTGGGGATGCAAATACTATGTACATAACTCTGCTTTGGGGATGCAAATACTATGTACATAACTCTGCTTTGGGGATGCAAATACTATGTACATACTCTCCTTTGGGGATGCAAATACTAGGTACATAGTACACACCCTTTCTGGGGATGCAAATACTAGGTACATACTCTCCTTTGGGGATGCAAATACTAGGTACATACTCTCCTTTTTGGGATGCAAATACTAGGTACATAGTACATACCCTTTTTGAGATGCAACTACTGTGTACGTACCCATTTTGGGATGCAAATACTAGCTAGGTCCATACCCTTTTGGGAATGCAAATACTAGGTACATACTCTCCTTTGGGGATGCAAATACTAGGTACATACTCTCCTTTTTGGGATGCAAATACTAGGTACATAGTACGTACCCGTTTTGAGATGCAATTACTGTGTACATACCCGTTTTGGGATGCAAATACTAGCTAGGTCCATACCCTAGGTACATACCCTGCTTTTGGTTTTGCTTCGAGTAGTTGTAGACCCAACTCGTTGCCAAGCATCCAGTGCATTGACCGCGGCGGTGAGACTCATAGCTCTTGCTCATCAACCGGAGCCCTCCGTTAGGACTGTCGTACTCACAGAGCACATGAGTCTTCTCATCTCACATGATATAATTGGCTTACATACCTCTAGGTAGTACCAAGTAATTCCTCTGGATAGTAGTACATAGTAAATTGCATCTCAAAAAGGGTATGTACATAGTGTGTGCATCCCAAAAAGGCTATGTACATTGTATTTGCAGGCCCAGTATCATATCAAAAGGTAGTTCATCTCTGACGAGAACAAAATGACACCTTGTGCCTCGGCTTCTCCGGTTCACCTTGTGGGGACCACAGTTGTACAAGTGCTGCTGTTCCAGCCCGACTACAAATAGGACATGACATGTCAGGGTGTGGGACATGGGTATGTATGTTGATTGTCATTGTAGGTGCGGACAAAAGAATTCCACGGGCTATATAATATATATACCCTAATAATCCTCACGACGCAAAGAATGATGATCACCTGCTAGCAGAACGTCAGCTGGTTCATCATAGTGCCGCATTGTGAGCAAGTTTCTTGGGATTCCACAGCTGACATTGCCTGCATGTGGAGGGGCGATGATGATGGGGCCTGTTCCACACTAAGGGTGCTTAGCTGTTGCAAGATCTGGTCTGCAACTGCTCGCCCTCGCAGAAGAAAACCGTCAGCACAGCGCACTGCAGCTGGCTCATGCGAGAGTCTGTCCGCAGCTGACATTGCCTGCCTGTGAAGATGCAATGATGATGGGGCTTGAAACTGCAAGATCGGGCCTGCAACAACTGCTCACCCTGCCCTGCCAGGGTGAGCAATTGCAGGCCCGATCCACGGTAAGGGTGCTTAGCAGCTGCAAGATCGGTCCTGCAACTACTCACCCCTGGAAGCAAAAACGTTTCAGCAGCACAGCGCACTGCAGCTGGTTCATGTGAGAGTCTGTTCTCTACCTCAGGCTGTTGTCTGGTCCTCGTCTGGCAGAGGATGGGGGAGTTCCAATCCTGGGTGCAGCCAGAGGAAGTGCAGCATTACATGTGGGACATGAACAGAGACGATGTGGCCGGTGATGACATTGGGGGATAGTCCATGTAGAGAGAGAGACACATACTCTCCAGGACAGCTTTTTGAAAACATTTGCATCATATGGCATGTTGCTGACATGGCAGCAAGAAAACAGGCCCGCACTCAGAGTCCTTCAAGCATGGTGTGTCTAGTCCACAATGGTGTATCCGGCAACTAATAAGACGGTGTGTGTGTGTGTGTGTGTGTGTGTGTGTGTGTGTGTGTGTGTGTGCATGTGTTTTAAATTTTCAACACAACAGCTCCTATTCCACCCAGATGAGTAGATCCAAAAATAATCGAAGCAGATTTAGTCCCTATTGCAGAGAGCGAAAACACTTGAGTTGAGGCAATCCAACAGTGAAACAGTTTTGGCTCTATAGCAAGCGTTTAAAGTTTAAAATTTAACTCCCTTTCTTAACTGTGTTGAAGTGTGTTCACTTTGGCTTTCTTTGGCGTACCCCTTTGTTCTTGCAACTTCCCCTTTTACTATGCCTCTCATGTACAAGGCTCGCCACGTTGATTGTGGTTGAGCGTGAGCGGCCATAACGCCCCCCACTTGTACGCTGTGAAAGGAGGCAGAGTAAAGGCGGAAGTATACTCCTGTTCATTTTTCCGGAGATATTTAGCTTATATTTTGTCTGTGTTCTCTTCATGATGCTCATCCCTAACCATTTACTAGTAGTACAGAAGAGGAGGGAGGGAGGGAGGAAATAGGAGGTGGAGTTCTCACAGAGTCACACGGTTCCAAATACTCACCGCTGGAGCAGACTAGTACACTAGAATACTTGAATGGCACACGACGCCCGTCAGTGTTTGGGTTGTGTATAAGATTTTGAATTGCGGAGCAGCCGTTGCCTATGGTAAGTGGACACCCCTACAGCCTACAGACCGAACAGGACTGGTTTGGCTGTGGACTGTGGAAGCACTGCATTCAATTCTCACAGTCAGTCGCCGTTGCCACATCGAATGGCCATGCTATGAACACCGAGGGACGCCAACCGCAATTGTAGAGGGATTCGWCGAATCCCTCTACAATTGCGGTTGGCGTCCCTCGGTGTTCATAGCATGGCCATTCGATGTGGCAACGGCGACTGACTGTGAGAATTGAATGCAGTGCTTCCACAGTGGTGTAGAAAGATGTCACAGGCCACAAGGCAGGCTAGGAAAACCGAGGGACGCCAACTGCAATTGTAGAGGGATTCGTCTCACGGTGTAGAAAGATGTCACAGGCCACAAGGCATGCTATGAACACCGAGGGACGCCAACTGCAATTGTAGAGGCATTGTCGTTCCAGCCCCGGTGATGCATGATTCATCGGATGATGAGCAATGGGCATGTCGAAGGAGTGCCAGTGTGGTGAACAGGGCAAAGAACAAAACGATAAAATGCAACGTAGAACAGTGGAAGACTAAAAGATATGATGACCTGACACGCTAAATCCAGGCTCGACTCACACAATCATCATCACAGATGTCACACAGCAAGGAGGGGAATCATAAAGAACCAGGAAGAAAGGTCCCTCCTTGCACACACACATGGGGAAGGAACCACGGATGATGAAGCGGCGGGGACAAGAGACGAAGGTGGGGAGAAGACAAGAGTAGAGTTTGTAGTCGTCCAAGAAACAGTCTCCCCGAGTCACCGTCAAATATGCAGCCAATTTCTAACCTCAAAATGTTTGAATCGGATCCTGGGCGCGCATAGACCCGAAATAGTCACCGCCTTAACTCTCTCTCTCTCTCTCTCTCTCTCTCTCTCTCTCTCTCTCTCTCTCTCTCTCTCTCTCTCTCTCTTTGTGAAGAAGAAGAAGAGGAAGAGGAAGAAGAGGAGGAAGAAGAGACTGTGGAGGGCTGGAGAGAATCAGCAGAGGAGAAGAAGAAGAATGCCCTCTCTCTCTCTCTCTCTCTCTCTCTCTCTCTCTCTCTCTCTCTCTCTCTGATGATGATGATGATGATGGTGATGCCTGAGTGCTAACTGTGGAGATGGTGTCCTCTGATGCAGGTCGCTGGCGTGGGGCTCATCTATGGCGCTCAGGTAAGTGCCCTCTCCTACCACGGCCAGGCTCCCCAGCCTCCGCCCTCTACATCTCCTATTCCCTCCCTCTGTCCTGTCCGCCGCGCTCCAGTAGGATGGCGCTGCGGCCTAACGCTGCTCCTCTCAACCTGTCGCCCAGCACACTGGTGGAAAACTGAATGTCGGAGTGCTGGGCTGGTCCTAGCTAAGTACCGCTAGGTCTGCTGCTGGGTCCCAGCGCCTATGATCTCGGCCGACCGATATCTCCTGCGATTGGCGGTCCTGATCGTATGCCAAAGTCCTTGTCCTTTCTCTAGGACCTCTAAACGGACTGCCCGGGTCCCTACCGGACATCCAGGCTGTAGACCTAGGACGGAACTGTGTCTGGCCTAAACTCGGCCTGGGCGAACTCGGCCTGGGCGAATTCCACTGGTCCAAACAGGCACAAGCCTGTTCAGAAAGAACAATAATCCGAACCGGCGAAACGTCACTGAAACACACAAAAATAGAACAGACAAAAATAAGTCCCACTCCAAAGCCCAGCAAGATAAATAATATAATAAGAAAATAATAAAGAATAGTGCTGTATGAAATTACTATGAATAAAAATGAAGCAGCCCAGCCGTGTGTCTGCAACATGCGACCACGGCCACGCAGGTCGTGCCGCAAACAGAGGCTGAGCGGCCTACGGGGCCAAGAAAACAAAGGACGGGCCTCGGGGGCCCATGTGGCAGCTGCGGAGGACGCTACACCCCTGTCTACAAATTGGACATGACATGTCAGGGTACCGCACATGGGTGCAGCACTGACTTTTTTTTTTTTTTCTTTTTTTCTTTTTTTCTTTTTTTCCCCGACTGCCATCATGCAATCAGACTCGTTCTCAAACACACTTTTCATGCATGTAAACAGCAACGCAGTATACTGGCGACATGCACCCACTCAAAACTCAGAGATATGGCTTTCAGATAC